ATATAAATAAATAGATTTTTTTATCAAATAGTTATAAATATTAGATTAATATGAAAATTAAAATTCATAATTTACAAAAATAGAACTTTTAATACATCATTTGATTTTTAAAAATATTAATTAAAAAGAAAATAATTTACGAATCAAGATGAAAGAATATAAAAAAGAGAATAAGGTGAAAGATCTAGATGTTATACCTGTAAATTTAATAGATAAAATTTAAGAAATTGATGATGATGACCAAACTAAACCGAGCAAATTACAAGTAACAGCAGATCCGATTAATTGCAAGCCCAATTCTTTGGAGCCGGAGCCATAGCCATTGTCCTAGAAATAAAACAAATTTCAAATGTATATTTAGTTGACGTACCAAAAAGAATAACTCACAAAATTTGTTAAATAATTACAAATTAATTAAGTAAAAGTATCATCTAAAGATAAAAAAGTTAACAATTTACTAAAACATAATTTCAAAATGATGAGACATTGGAGATTCTTTCTGAATAAAGTCAAGCTCTAGCCAAACAAAAAAAAAAAAGAAGAAGAAAAACTTAAATTTTTTTCATTTAATATATATACTTTAAAGATAACATGAGCACAGAGAATTAAGATCAAGGATCTAAATAGATAACATACCTGAAAATTCAATAGAAGAAATTAAAGAAGATGGACACAGATAATCTAATTAGTTAGGCCAAACAAATTAGAAGCAGCAACAGATCCACGAACCCTATTGCAAGCAAAACAGTGTCTGATCATAAGAAAAGGCGAGCGAACAAAGGACAAGAGCAAACTTAAAGAAGTGATTAGCTAGTTGTTCATAGGGTTAGTAGGATGCAAGAAGGTACAGTTAGTGTAAGGGAATTACAATATTTAATCAAAGCAAGTTGAAGCCAACTACAATACAGACCAAGAGCACATCTTTTCTCTAAGATGCTTTGCATGTGGGTGAACGTGGGATTGTCTTCCACTAAGCCTTAATTAATTTTAAACTCTACAGGGCTTGAATTTATTGAGAATTACAATATTTTAATTAAAGCAAGTTGAAGCCAATTACAATAGAGACCTAGGAGCACATCTTTTCTCTAAGATTCTTTGTGCATGTGTGAACGTGGGATTGGTTTTCCCTAAGTCTTAATTAAATTCTAAATTCCACAGGACTTGAATTTATTGGGAATTACAATATTTTAATTAAAACAAGTTGAAGCCAATTACAATAGAGACGTAGGAGCACATCTTTTCTCTAAGATTCTTTGCGCATGCGTGAACGTGGGATTGGCTTTCCCTGAATCTTAATTAATTCTAAACTCCACAGGACTTGAATTTATTGGTTAAGTGTCTTATTTAATGTG